CTTAAAGTATTTTATTCAAACGTAACAAGATGTTGCAACGTGACATAACATATGTATAAGTAACGATTTATACACTGTTGAATATATAGTGTTAAATTTATCTATTGTTTTAGTATAAAATAAGGATATATTGAGTAGGAGAGCAGTAGCGACATTAGATTAAATTTGACACTATAGACAGTGCAGTTTTAAAGTAAAATTTTATTTTTGTAGAAACATTTTATTAGGCATTAGTTCTTTTTGACTGAATATGGCCTTCTTCGCTTATTTGTATATGTTGAAATATTTCTTAGCCAATTTGGTTTTATTTACTATTGTTTGTAGAAATGAATTATTTTACAAATATGTAATGCAGAGCTTAGACAGTAGAAAAGCAGAGTAATCAATTATTAACCGTTTTGTTGATAGAAAGGTAACGAAAAGATTATTTGTCGTGATATCTATAAGATTAAAAGATCTCGATGGTTCATATTTTTCGTGCGAACGTGTGTGTGTGACATTCCAATATTCTTTCTTACTTACTGAAATATATTTTCGTTAATTATATTTTTATCTATTAATACAAAATTGTGTGATATATTCTTAGAACATATACTAATGAAAAAGAATAGGGCGCGCTGAACGTGAAGTCAATATCTGTGCGAGAGAGCAAGCTATAGAGTCCCAAATGTTCGTAATGCGCATACGTAGCACCGTCGTCTGTGTGAATTGTACAGTTATGTTACAGATGTGTAAAGCTGGAATCAGACTAGGCATTGAAGAGTGAGATTGAAGATTGAAAGATTGAAATTTGATCAATCAAAACAATAGGAGCTAAAATTCCATTATCCTCATTGGTCAAATTTCAATCTTCAATCTTCGATCTCAATCTTCAATGCGTAGTCTGATTCCGGCCTAAGAAACATCACACAACTGTACAATTCACATAGACAGTGCTGCGCATTGCGAACATTTGGGACTCTCTAGCTTTCTCTCTTGCACAGATGTTGGCTTCGCGTCTGGTATATGGGTGGCATAGGTAATTCCTCTTTCAGTAGTATGTGTTCTAAGGATATATTGTATATTAATGAACATAAATATAATATAATTAAATGTTAATATGGCTCAATTAGAATAAATCAATAAATAAAAGAAGGGCAACGAGCCAATTATAATATAAGATCTTTAATCAACGTGTATATACAATATTCAAACGTTTCGACACCGATCGGGTCATTTTCAATGTAAAATAACAAACACTCTTACATACATTATCAGAAATTCGGTTAAATTATATTGTCCAGTGAGAATTTGGTTATATTCATAAAATGCGGTCCATATGTAAAACTATCAAAGAGATCAAATCTCACTTTTCGCAATTCTACCATCTGAATAATAAATAATACATTAACGTTGCGTTATAAATTAGATTATCGATGTACATTTTTAGTAAATTAGATTAGAGAGAATGTAAATTAAATAAAACGTATATACCTCATATTATCTCAATGATGTAATGTAGACAACGGTAGGAACACACAATTAACAAAGTTATATTTAATAAAAGTTATATTTAATAAAAAATAA